TTTAATTTTTATCATGACATTATGGAAAATAATGAACTTTATCACAATATTCTAATTTTATGACCAGCATTTGTAGCTTTAATAAAACTCACTCTTTTGCATGTGGAACCAAATATTTCTGAAGTCGCGTTTAGTTTTACTGGTGCTGCTTAGTGTAATGCAAGTAAAGCTGTGGGAATTGAAATGTGTGGAACCCATGTTCACCCCCGAATAGTGCGCACACAGTAGTGATCTGCTTACCTGCAATAGGAGTTCCCGGGTAACAGCCCAAGATGCCTTTTGTGCAGCAACAACGACGTGTTCAGTCCAGTTCTTGGGGCTTTCTGCAAGACACAGATACGGGTGTAATGGCAGAGGCTCAGTCCTTAACAGGAAAAATCTGCTAATGTTGCTCAGCTGAATTTATGAATGCAACGTCTTCGTGTGTTATTAGACTGGAAGAAGTAGGTTGTCCATTCACAGCACACTCACAGCACACTCATCTTCTGCCAGTCTCTTATGTCTCTGCTTTTCCCGTTCCTTTTCTTGCAGCTGCTCTCTGGTCAGCGGGTTGCAGTTATTGTGTCCAGGAAGCAGACGGAAGTAGCGGTTCTTCTCAGGGTCAAAGTAGAAACCGGGCAGCTCTGACAGAACAGAGAAAGAACTGAAGCGTCCATAATTTGTATTTTCACCCCTCACTTAGCTAAAACTGGAACATCAAAACCAATTTATCATCAATACATTATGTAATGAACCAAGATTATGTTTTTCCTTGTGCCTTTTTTGGTGGTTTTACTGACAGGTTGACTTCATGGAGAGCAACAAGACTCCTTCACAACATAACTAAACAGTTTTTCTTTCCACTGAACTTTCCATTAATATGCTTGAATGGTGAACAGCAAACTTCTTTAGCAATTAACTTTTTTTGACAACTTGCTTACTTGGATTCATTTACGGGTATTTTGAGTAAGTAAGTCTGTAAAACTGAATGGTCTAGTCATCTGAATTAAGGGTTTTTATTTGCTGGAAATCCATCATCATAAAAATAAACATTTAATGAATATTGTTTAATATATGTTTTTTTTTGCCCTTTTGAATCTAATTACTAAAACTATTGGACATCAAGATGACATTCTAATATATCTCTATTATTATTTTGTTCATAATGTTTGAGTTTCTACTGTCCAGTTGCACCAAAAGTCCCCCGAAAAGGGTGTAATCATTAGGATACCTGGTACTCCGCTGTCGGATTTAGAGGAGGAAGAAGAGGCTGAGGTTGAAGAAGCTGAGGCAGTTTGGTTATCATGTTCCCTCTGAGATGCTCTGTGAGACGGCCCAGCATCATTATAGTCCTCCCTATAAACAGGAGATATTAATCAAAGCCAATTCTAGGATGAGAGACAATATGTAGAGTTATAATAACGTGTGTTTTTGAGTCTTAAATGTGTGCTGTGCTTCGCTAACATGGCTACCACTGTTCGTCGCTGGATGGTCTCTGTCGATTTCCTCTGTACCACGTCTTTCGACGATCCTGTCGCCATTTCCACTTCTTCATCTCCGTTCCTGGACTCCTACAGCGAGATTTATCATTCCACGTAGCCCGTGGTTCACTTCTGGCACATGAACTGCAGTGTGTTTACTCGTTAGCTTAGCAATGCTACCTTCGGTTCTCACGAGACCCGTTTGGTTTGATTCGCAGGAGCTCAAAGCGTGCAAATAAAACGCATATTCGAAGGTTTTGAAACCTTTAATAATACAGTTAATTTAAAATAAGCCTAAGCATGTCAATATGATAATGTTAACGTTAATTGTCGAATCTGAATCTCTTGAGCTCGGTAGCTAAACGTAGTGAGGACTTTGATGTACCTCGGAAAAGGAAATACTTTTCCTAAAGAATGGAGAAATCTAATGTTCAAAGTTTGCTTTAACATAAAGACCGTGAACACTAATGTAATCTTCCTCAGGAAAATGCTAGATTAAAACATTAAACATTGTCTTTTGTTAACATACTCTATAAAAATAAACTTTCCGCATTTTTCTGATTATTTGTTCTTTGTGTGTTTTCAGTAAGTAATTTAATGCAACACCAGGTTCTCCACTGTTGCCCCACCCTTCAGTTAATTTATTGGACAACTTTAACAAAGAGTTTCTGGCGTATCATGTATTCATTGGCTATTTCCTCTGTCAGCGTTTTGCTGCCTTTGAAAGTAACTCGAAATTCTTGACTTCTTAACTTAACCTGTCAGGAGACTAAAGGGTTAACAAGATAGTTTAAATAAAAGCCGTAGTAAAATTAGAGGGTGGCGACCGTAAGGAGATAGAGAAATTTTGCTATTCTTTTACTCAAAAGTGAATTGGGAAATCCTCAGTTTTTTCCCCAATTGAACAAAATAAGCCTCTTTAATTTAAGAATATTTGACGTCTACAGTTAAATAAAGAAGCTTGATTGTTTTCCCCCAAAAAAATCCCAGAATATAAAAATAGTAATTTATACTAATATGACTTTTTTTGTGAATAATCATGATGTTTGTCTGACTGTTCTCTATCTATTTTTATGTAAGAGAAAAAACTTTTCAAATGTGATGAATGGGCTACTGATGACCACTAAGTTTTGAACCACGTTCTCCCGAATCACTAAATAAAGAAACAGAGTTTTAGTTATAATTTGACAAAAATCCAAGTTTCCGTTAGGATGTGTGATATCCGAGAGTCTTTGAATGCAGCATGTTCTTCCTACGTAATTGCTTTATAAAATTTTAAAAATATGTTGAGGAATAAAACCGGACTCTAGCAAACATAGGCCACTGCCTCCGTGCTTCATTCATATATATTCTGATATAAGATACAGTAAATAGGAATAAGTTAATGCCTTTTCAAATGGCAGAACCATTAAAGGATTAGACGATCCAACAAAGCCACAAAGGAAAGCCCATAATGTTAATTACTCATATTGGTTCTAAGGTTTTGGGTTAATTTAAATACATATTAATCAACTTTGTTTCACAGGATGAGTCCCGTGTGGGGTCTGTTGACATACTTCTGTGAAGCCACGCCCAATGTCTTCATGCTGGGGTTGTATTGGCACGGAGCACAGTAGACAGGACAGCATTGGCTGTTGTATTTTTTTTCTACTTTTTTTTTTTCTTCATGACGGTCCGAAACTGCACAGAGATTTGGAATATTACATTACAGCCTTGCAGAGCGAAAGATGGCGACTGTCATTCATAATCCATTAAAATCGTAAGTAGTATTTATTTATATGTTTCAGGACCACATTATCATTGTAAACAGACTAAAGGGGGGATAGCAATGATTTCTTCATATTGTGCAGCTCATAAATACAGATCAGGCTTCTCGCGCACTTGAACGGCTTCAGATGTTTTCAGGTCTCCTGCCCTCTTGCATGGCTGTGCAGCCCCGTTGAAATAAAAAGCATGCACAATATGCAAAAACATGCGATCGGAATCGTGCACTTGGTAGGAAGTTCCCCACTTTATGAAGGCGGCACGGGCACAACTTTGCATTGGAGAAACGACACGAGTTACATTTGCATAGGAACTGTCATACAAGTAATGCAAAACTTGCACTGCAAACTTCAGCTCATCCTTAAAGGGAAAATAAGTCTGCGCACACCTGCTTGTGATGTGGGGGAAAATCAGATATAAATAAGATAAACTAAAACTGTATAATTTTGAGAGTATTTCCTGTGCACAGTCCGCACTTTACTCCTCTTCTAAGGAAGCCATTCTTTTTCTGATTTGGATGCATTGAGTTACTTTCTGGCTGAAGGATGAGGTTCCTTCATTTTCAAGGCAGAAGCTTAAATGTTTAGTGCCAACTCTGGCTGGCCTTTGGAACTGCTTATCATTTCCGTCATGACAAATGTTCAAGCATGATGCCGCCACCACCTCCACACTTCTTCAGTATTGGTATGGTGTTCTTTTAGTGGTGTGCAGAGTTGTTTTTACGTTCAACATACTACGTGGAATTATAATTAGACATTTATAAATTAGAATTGCCTTTTCTGGAGTGATTTCCAGTTCTTTGTAATGCCACTGTTACAGCATCTGTTCTCCCCTTGACCATGACATGTCTTCACTGCGCTTCCTGGTACATTTATTGCCTTGGAAATTTATTGGGACCCTTCTCCTGATGGACACATTTGGTCGAGAAGATTCCCGAATAGTGTTGATTGAGAATCAGCGGAGGGAGCTAAAGATTAGGGCGATGGCACAGAGGTCTTCCAGACTCAAAAGATGTTGGGGCGCATCACCACAGATGCAGAAAACCGTGCCAACAATTAATTACATTAATTGTTTTAATGCCAATAAAGATGCTTATTTTTTGTTGTTGTTGTTTTCAAAATCTACACTCCTATATATTAGCTTCTTATCGTTTGTGTGATTTCCTGACAGAAGCAAACTTCTAGGTTGAATTAAAAACTACTTCAAAATAAGTCCTGTCGTAGGCGTGATAACTTTAGCCTTATCTGTATACTTAATGACAAAAATAAAATTACATTTCTTGTTATTCCAGTTCTACACTAATTTTACTGCTGCCGCACAGCTAGCTGTCCAGGAAGTTAGAAAAGTAGCGGATTAAAACTCTTATATACCAAAAGTTGTTGGGGTGTTTGTGGTCAGTTTATGGCAACTTTGCCAAATAGTTTCCACAGAAAGTCCCTTTGTAAGAGTGTTTTGAGTAGTTTACAGTATAATCATCAATAGCCAGAAGGGTGCAAGTTCCTTCAGTAACGACTCTCTGCAGTGTCCATAAAAAGTTCTAGTTAGGCTTACCAATTTGTCCTGCAGCTGAAATTAAGTCACTACATTTTGAATTCCGTTCTGTGTTGCAACACCATTCAATAACGCATCCCTTCTCTTGATGCACACATTCTGTGTTTTTGTTCATTTATTTTTTTCTATAACACAAAATACTGTAATCCCTGCACTTGCCAGGGTAAAAGACAATGCTTGTATTCCATCAAAGCAGATTAGGATGTTGACAGTTTATAGCTTTTGTGTATGTAGAGCAGCAGATTAAGAGTGTCCCAGTATTTTTTCCTGAGTCCATCTGTCAGGAGAAACGTATTGGGTAAGAAAAGGAGAGTCATAAGGGGGTCTGAGAGAGGGAGATCCATCTGCTTTTCACGTGAATTGGACCCACATGTGATTTCTGGAAAAAAAAAAAAAGGTGGGGGGGGGAGGAGAGATGGGGGAAACACTGTGCATTGCAAACCATGCGTGATGTATTTTTGCAAAATATATGAGGAGTGATCTGCTCAACTTTGGTTTTAAGCAGACAACCAGGCTGCCTGCTTTAAAATAATAATCTGCCGTGCTAATCTCTGATAGATTCATTAAAACTATCAGAGCCTGACAGTCACTATGTCTGTCTGGCCTTCTCAGTCGTGGTTAGCCATACACATTGTCTTGTGGGGTGTTTAAAAAAAAAAAAAAAAAAAAAGCAGGTACAAAGACGCCTTTGTGATGGAAACCTGGAGAGGCAGTGCAGGGTTGGGGTTTAATGAGGAGCTGACATGAGAAGTATTTAAATAAGCACCGTAATTTATATGCAGAGATGTGCATATTGCATGCCCTGCCGACATCCCGCGGTCAGGTTTGGATTTATAACGTAACAAAGAGCTCAGGTAGGAAGGGGGGCTTGCTGGCGTTTCCGTGAGGATTGGGAAGACGTGGGCTGAGATTTAAAACAGCTTGATGCGAGTGGAGCGAAGGGTTCACGTATTGGGGTTGTATTTGTTGTTTACATGTGTCGCCCCTCCCCCTCACAGTTTGTAGAAGGGGGAGTGAGTGATGGAAGTGGTGTGTGTGTGTGTGTGTGTGTGTGTGTGTGTGTCTGGCTGCATTTAGGCCGTATTGCATACATTCATAACGCACCCAGAGTACAGGATTGAACCCTGGCTTTTGTTTATCCTGAACGCTCACAGGAAGAGTTTTGGTGGTACGGATAGATTTATTTTTTTCCCTGTTCTGCACATAGAAACAGCTCGATTTTCATCACCTTATCATCTTATACAATTTTATTTATTTCTGTGGGAGAATTTTATATATATATATATATATATATATATATATATATATATATGTTGCAGCAACATATATGTTTGGTTCATCATATGTTCTGGATGAAGTGGAAGAAAATGGATGGATGGATGGATGGATGGATGGATGGATGGATGGATGGATGGATGGATGGATGGATGGATGGATGGATGGATGTTGCAGTAAAATCATCTCAATCTAGGTCCCAACCCCCCTCGTCTTCAGCTCCTCCGTATCTTCTTTCCTTCCTCCATCTTCACTTCTTCTTCCCTTTCATTCCCAGTGTGTGGCGTAAAAAGAATGAATGCATTCATGCATAGACATATCTATGCATTTGAGAAGGAATGAGTGTGACATGGTTTGAAAGGGAACACGTGTGGCCCCAGGTCATGTCAGACCCCGTCCCCCCCCCCCTCCGGCTCTGCTTCGCCCAGTCTTCAGACTCCAAAAATTTCCACAGCTTTAATTGCCCATATGTAGCGTCTGCCCTCTGATTCCCCTGAGGTTTCGCACTCATTCAGGGTCACATGCTGCTCATGTTTCTGTATGTCTACAACGTTCCCAAACATATTTTACTTGTCCCATACCTAATTCGTGGGGTTTTAATGTATCAACCTGCAATTTGAGAGTTAAACTGCTTGATGTTTTTTTTTTTTTTCAGGAGTACATTTGTAAGGTCGGACACTGATGTTGGACCAAAATTAAACTGGATTTATTGGAAATCTGTGAATACAAAGGTTCCGGCTTGGGAATTCTGAAATGCCAAAAAAAAAAAAAAATAATAAATCAGATTAATTGCTTTAACAATTTTTAACATGTTAAAATCTGTATAATTAATTAGTTAAAATGAACGTGTTAAAATTCTCGCCTTAATATTTATTACAGTTTTGTCATATTTTATGTTTGGCCCTTGATTCAGAAAATGATGTTTTTGTCTATAAACTAACACAGGAACTCGTTACTCTCTAATTTGGTAACAAATAACATTCCTTGTTGGCAACTCTCTGTCTTTGCTTTGCATAGCCACGTGCATCTGGCTTACACTCACGTCATGCTTTGCAATTTGATTGTCTAAAAATGACCTTTATCTATCAGACTCCAGATCTCTGTGCAGTATTAAAACTTACAGTTAAATGTAGCACCATTACATTTTTCATGCACGTTTATTTTCCCCAAAAGTCCTTTTTTTTTTTAACATTGGGGAGCAACAAATTAACAGTAATTTAATACTCTCAAGGGCTCTTTTGTATCCACCCGAGGCATACATGATACCCGTGTGCTCTCACTCAAATTCTCCGTGTTTTGACTGTACGTACGCTTGTGAGGAAGTGAATTCCTAATACATCTCTAACTAAAATTGACCTCATAAATGTATGTCAATTACACACATTGACATACAATGTATGTATGTAATGGATATATGGTTTTCCCCTGGTCTGGAACATTTAACTTCACTTTTTACTTTTTGGATGAGAGCTGTTCACACCTACTGGCTGTCATAGTTAGAGGATGAAATGACTAATTATACATCGCCAGGCGCTTGTTACACCAGGTGTTTAATTGAGTCCAAATAGCATTTTTGAAAACATCTGTTGTCACGTATTAACTAACTTCTAAGTGAACCATATAAGGCTTTTAATGCGGTTTGTCAGACGCCAGGTGGCGTAGGACAACGTGCGATTAGTGACCAAAATGGTTTTCCATATGTTTTACGCTCAAGTTTTGAAAACACCTCACAGACAAATTCACAGCCGCTCACTTATGTAAGAATCTACGTAGATTCTCCCCCGGGAAGACTGCACAGACGCTCAGGCTGTTGAAATCAGGACAGAAACATCCAGCCAGAGTGATGAAGAAGAAGAAGAAGAAGAAGAGAGAGATGAGGAGAAATGCCCGCAGGTTCCACACACACACGCACACACACACATTTCAGTTCAGGCAACAAATAGTGACGGCTGATATAACGTTTTAACCTCTGGGAATGTGTGTTGTGTGACAGGAAGTCTCTTCTGAAGATCTGCACTGTGACTGCCGCTCTCGTACTGTATAAACACGTGTTGGCAAAAAGCACCAGCTGCATTCCTCGTTTCTGTAGGTCTGTATGACCCAAAACGTCTGCCAACAACTTCCACATGCATCTGTTGCCAGAAACCACATGAAGTTGAGCAACTAGGAGCTTTGGGTTTCTCTTATTTACAGTCGCCTCTCTTAAAGATTCATAAACTGGGAACAGACGGATTGTAGCTAGAGTTAAACTCATCTAGTTCTCCGGCATTTCGAGTGGCTTTTCTTCAAAGAGCAGCAGTTTAAGTGCGTTGAATTCTGAGGTGAATAATATGAAGGGGATCAAACTTGTCCAATCTCTGAACTGCTAGAATCGCAGAAGACTGACGGACACACAAGATATGCAAATCGACTTCCCAGCGAGATGGAGAAGGATCCTCCAAACCATGCTGTGAATGTGCATTTGTATTCTAATTCCAGCTTCATAAAATATTTTTCCTCAGTGAAAATATGCGGCTGTACAATTTGTTTTCAGAAAAATGAGAACTGTTTCCATTTGGATTCTATCGTTGCTCTATTTGTCATGCTGCTTAAACGGTCTTCAGGAGTGCTTAATATAAACGTTTGCATTTTCTAATTTAAAAACAATAAAAACACAAACCAATCATTAAAGGAAAAATGATTGGTCTGTGAATGCTTTCGGCACTCAAATTAAAAGTTTTTTTTTGTTTGTTTTTTTAAATGTCAGTGCGATGCTATGCAACTGCAATACAATTAATTAATCAAGGATGCCAACAGAGAAAATGTCCCCCAAAAGGTCTTTTCTTTTCAAATAACAGTCAGCGTAATTGTCGTGTTATGTAATTAATACCATTACTAATAATATATCAGGACCAACATATCTTTGGGCCAAGCAAATAATTCACAGCCATGGCCTACAGCACAGTATTCCAGTAGAAAGTAAGGTTGGAAAATAAGTGATTTCTGTGGTTTCTGTTTTTAGTCACATTTTAATAATACGTCCTATGGTATTTCCTTATTATTTTCCCCAAATACTCATTCCATTGTAATCCTCATTCATCCAGTTTCCCAAAGGTAGATTCAAAAAATATTTCTGACTGAGCTCAGCCCATTTTGTTGTCATTTGTAGCAAATGCTGAGCTGTAATTTGCATTAGAAAAAAAAAAGGAAAACTGATAAGAGAGACATTAGTCTGCCCTTCAGATCTCTCATGCATAATTTTACGAGTCTTCCCTTCTTTCCTCCTTATGGCTATCCCCTTATGTAATATTTTTTTTCTTTTGTTTATCTTCTTCTGTACATAAATACTTACATCAGTAATATGTTTTTATCCCTCACCCCCCTAAATCCTCTTTATACGTCATCTTAATTCAATCATTTAAATTCAGTTTGTTTTTAAAAGAGCCAATTTATAACAGATCCCATCTCTTGGGTCTTTGCGAGAAAATATGTCCGAAATATTTCCACTAACTGCGCTATAAATCAGCTTCATACCGATACAACGCAATCACAGCAGAGAGATATTCGATTCAACAACCAACTTTCTTTCCTCTGTCATCTCCACATACTGCGCATTTTTCTTCATTAGGGCTAAATGTTCTTGTTTTTGCCCATTGTGCCATTTTGTGCATATCTGTTTAGGAGTATTCCCAGACTCCTCGTCTGCGCCGGTGACGGTCAAGCAGACTGACGTGTGTGCACTCTGTAAACCGAAAACCAAACACAGCCCTGACAGACTGGATACACTAAACTCTCGCAGGGCTGCATCTGCTGGCTTGAACAATGTCAAGCAGAGAAAATCTTCAGCGTGACATCAACACCAGAGTCTCCTTTGTGTATTTCTCACGTCACACAGTTTGCAGAAGGTGCTGATCTTGGTGTCGTTTCCTCTGTCTTTAATTGTTCTACCCCTGAAACCTCGGCGAATGAAGCTGAGTCGGCACGAAGACCGTTTCTCAGCAGGATTTTCAAACTGACGGGCCCACCGGTGTTTCATTTTGACAGCTTTGCTTGGTTCATCTTTCTTATGTGCTTTTCTCTTCTCTGCTCGTGTCTAATTGTCAGCTCTAATGCCTTCACTCTAAATATTTTAAGTCCAGACTCTACAGTACATAGACTTAAAGACCTGAAGCGAAACTTATTATCTTCAAGTCTTTTCTTGCCTTACGCATTGCCTTGCTTGCAAAACACTTTGATCCTTTTTTGTATTTTACTGTGCTACAATATAAACTGCAGGGTTTCCCCCAGTGTATTACAAGCCTGGCGGGCCACAAGGCTTTACTTGCGCCCCCACCAGGCTAAGCATTGCTTGTTTATTTATTTAGGTTTTTTTAATGTTTGCTTTTCTCTAAAACATCATAATTGGTGTGCAGATACTGGTAATGACTTCCAATAACACGTAATTACCTAGTGATATTTTCACATTTCCTGTCAACTTTTATTTTTTTATTTTTTTCGAAAACATGGTGGCCCATTGCTAACCCCTACCACTGGGATTCTGCAAAGGTTTTTTTTGTAAGAACTTTCCACAATAGAACTATAAAGCTGTATTTTATCACTTTTCTTGATATTTTTTTCTTTGAAAGCGAGAAAACGTAACGATTTTATCAATAATTGGAAAAGCATTCATGTCCGGAAGAATCTAAGCCAGTCCACAGAATATTTCCCAGAACAGCTCGGGAATTATCACGATGTGTTTTATGATTTTCACTTAGTAAGTATGTGCTGGATGCCATTTTTTTGTCCAGTGTTTCTTATTGTCAAACATCAACCTTAACTGAGGCAGTACTTTTGGTGTTTTCCGGGATTATTTTGTGACCTCCTGAGTCGATGTTGATTTGTTTTTGCACTATTTTGAAGTGATTTTTGTAGAGTGCTCACACCTGGAAACGTTCACTCTTGCTCCGTCCTGTTCCATGTGTAGATAACGACCGACGCTCCTGTTTTCTGGAGTCCCAAAACCTTAGAAATGACAATTTAACCTTTTGCAGACTGTTTTTGTCTGACTCAGCCTTTGAATTTCATTAGTTTGTGCTATTATGTTCTTTGAGATCTTTCATTCTACTTCATGTCGTCAGACAGGATTTACATCTATTTTTATGCCACAGGTCTGGCAGCAATCAGGCCCGTGTGTGGCTTGTGAAACTGAGCAAAAAAAAAAAAAAAAATGTTGCTGATCGCAGTTAATTCCTGATTTAACAAGGAGGCAATTGTATTTTCACAAAGGGCCAAGTTAGGTTTGAAACCTTGGCTTTGTGGTTTTCTTGTATTTTGTCTCTGCCTGATATCAAAGCCACAGTTGGATGACAAAGAAGAAAAAAAAACGTAAGAAATCTGGGAGAAATCCACCCATTTTCCCATTAAAGCAATAAAAATACAGATCTCGCTGCTAACATTTTTTTTTACTACGTTAATATTTTGTTCCTGCAGCATGGTTTTTTGTTGTTTTTTTTGACTGTAGGCCTACATGATGAATTTATTCTCTGATCAGAGCATCGTCTTCAACGTGTTTGCCGTGTTCCTTCTGGACGGCTTTTCCTTTTGACAAATATTTTTCTTGCAGATCCTCCTACCTCATTTGTGGATCTCTGCAGCTCCTCCAGAGTCTTGGGTTGGTTCTAGATTAGGAAAGGGGTGACAATTATTTTTTGCAAGGCTCTGTAAATCTGAACAATGCAGTCAAACGTGATTTTTTGCCAACATTTTTTTTTTTGTTTTGAAGTCTAAGCAAAGTGACTCACTAATTTGATTTAACCCTGTAAGAGAAATATTTTGGGCATAAGTCTTACAATTGTTTTGAGTCTAAGGTGATTTGGGAAAATCAGCCCAGCAGCATGTGGCGTTGCCATTCTGAAAGAAGCTTTTGCATGTTATGAATGTAATAACAACAGCATGTCATCACAAAGGAGAAGTGGAAATCACAGGAGCATGCTTTATGCTGCTGTGATTGATAGCACAAATAAGACTATAAAGTTGTGGGTAAGTGTTTTTTTCATCAAATAAACATCTTCTTAATGCAGCGCAGATGTTGAGTGAATGGGTAATTGTTGTAGAACGAAATGTAAATGAGCCTGACTGCATTTTGCTGTGTTCTCGGCTGGCTCCGCAACTGTATACTCACAGTGTTGTTTGACTATCTGCGTTCTTGTTTTCACGATTTCCTGGATTCAGGCTGGGTGACCAGTTCTATAAAGAGGCCATTGAACACTGTCGCAGCTACAATGCCCGCCTCTGTGCTGAGCGCAGCGTGCGAATGCCCTTCTTGGACTCGCAAACTGGCGTGGCACAGAACAACTGCTACATCTGGATGGAAAAGCGTCACCGCCGACCAGGTAAGAAACTCTGCAAGGGTCAAGAAACCTGCCTGGTCCTGAAAAAAAAAAAGAGTCTCAGTTTCTCCCCCGTGCAGAATAGCATCTGGCTACATTTTGCAACCCGCTTGAAAATATCTGTATTTCATTTTTTACCTGATTTGACCTGAAATATGTTACTGGAACAGGAAGAAGACGGCTGCCTTTTGAGATAGTTCAGCAGATAGACCTCCAAAAGAAACTGAAAAAGTCTCAGCAAAAAACAAAAAAAAAACAACATATCATTTTGGTGGAGATGGTAACGTAGATGTCGCTACAAAAGTAAAAAGAGTTGTTTGTGCTAACTCGCAAGCCTGTAAGTGGCACAGCTTGCCACCGCAGCAAATTAGTAAAGCAGTTTTAGGTTTTATTCTAAATCTTTTATTCATTTTAGCAGCGCCAGGAGCATGGAAGCAGGTGACTGCTGTAGTGAGTGCTTTGCATGGCTGTCTTAGTTTTGGGGGGATATTACAGGTATCCTACAACTGAAGCACTTGTCTCAGAAGTCTGAACTCTGATCTAGAAATAAAAGCACACCGAGGCTAAGATTATTTGAATTTAAGTTTCCCATATGTTATTCTTAAATTCTGTTGAGCCTGTGAACTGCAGCCTCACTTACCTGTTCTCACTGACTGGAGCGGCTCTTAGCGGGGTCTTCTGCTGGTGTAGCCCATCCGTGCTTCCAGGTAGAACCAGTCTGCTCATTCTTCTCTGACCTCTGCCCACGCCAGCTGCTTGCTCACTCTATTTGTGTTTTTCTTTTTCCCTGTAAAAGCAAAGATTGACGTAGTTAGAAATCCCAGAAGGTGAGGAATAGCTGAAATAATTAGACCATGCTAGAAGCAAAGAATCTTGAATTCCCTTTCTTTGCCACCCTGATGGTCGTTCTGACATTCAGCAAGTTGTCTTCTGCGCATACGCACATCTACATGCCGTGAGTTGCTGCTGCGTGACTTAACGGTAAGCGGAGTAGCAGAGCGAAAACGAGGAGTCTACTCAGGAAAATTTGCAAGTTACCAACTGGTGGGTGTATTTTGTCAATACTCTGATTCTGCTTCCAGGCTTAGATTAACCCAGGGAAGCATGTTAGCGCATTACCTACAATGTTTAGCGAATAGATATTTGTAATAAAAGAAAAAAAAAACTTAAATATGTGTATCTCATGATGAGGTGCCCATCAGTGATTTATCTTGAATCAAGTGTTCAGAATTGGCCATGCACATGTGGGTCCTCTGTGCAGCCAAAGGGAACAATCTGCTCCTTGGTGAGATCTGGACATAAATAGCCTGCGCTCCATCTTGTATGCAAAGCCCTTCAGGCCACACCCTATACTTTGTGGCAGACCTAACTCGCAATATATGCATTTATTCTGGGTTCATGCCTCCACCTCCTTTCTCTTGATTTTTTTTTTCTCTTTTCTCATGTGGACATAACTGAACCCCCTCTACACCTCCCACCCCCTCTCCCTTCTCCTCTGTTTTCTCCCAAGATAATGGGAGGAGGGGGTGGGGGGAGGATGAGGATTAAAGGCAGAGAAACGATCAAATTTGCTAGAGTAAAGTCAGATTTCAAATTTTCATTCCTTTGCTTTAGAATACGGGTTTCTGCTCCACTAGGATGCAAACTGGAAATTCTGAAACCAACCGGAAGAATCTAAAATAAGACAAAAAAAATTTTAATGGCATCTGACTGGGGTCAGGATTTTTCTCAAGATGTTGACCACTGCACTAAACATTACTGAAATCTGGACACAATAAGTGCTGGGGGGCTAAAGGGAGGAGATGAGGACTCTAAGTGTTTTTCCGTGTGTCTGTTGTGCTTGGACTCGGTGCATAAATTGTTAAAATGTTGGCAGAGGTTGTTCAAAATTCCTCCACAGTGCCTGCATTAACGAGTGTATGGCTGTGTGTGTTTTGTCCTTTTTTCCTGGTCCAGGCCAGGCGGCGGGGCAGATGTATACGTACCCGGCTCGTTGCTGGAGGAAAAAGAGGCGACTCCACCCACCCCTGGATCCGCAGCTCCGCCTGTGTGAGCTCCGGCTAGGTAATTCAAGCAACAACGCAGCCCGGCAGATATACACACGCACAGACGTTCAGTTGAAACCCCGAACACTGGGAAGTAGCGACTCTGTTGTCCCATTTTGATTTGAGTTATTTTTACATGCAGCTTTCAGTTTGATGTGCGTCCTGGTGCTGCTGTGTTTCCTGCACTCTGCTTGTTTTATTAATTCTTGCTATCAGGCCATCTGGCTCTGGTTAGCCTCTCTCTCACCAGGTCTCCAGGTTCTTTTTTTTTCCCCCTTCGAATCAATACCCCCTCTCACTGTTCTGTAGCTGTAGACACACACACACACACACACACACACACACACACACACACACACACACACACACACACACGGTCATATACACCCCCACACATGACTCCTGCTCCCCCCCCCAACTCCAGCACAGGAGCAACCTCACTGGGCCTCTATAATCATTTGTCCATGAGGCATTAAAATGCAGCTTAGCCTTATGAGACGGCAGTACATGCTTTATTTTGTCAGTTCTCATCCCTTCGTGCGCACAGCGCTTTGTCTTTTGGGGGGTGGGGGGTATATTAGAAGTGGAATACCAGGGAACCCGATAAGAGGAGGAATGAAGGCGATTCTTTGTTTCCGCTCTCTGCCACTATTGTTCCCTCTTCTGTGTCCTCCAGATGCAATATAATACTCCAGAGCATTCTGCAAAGAATGATTTTTTTTTTTTCTTCACGCGGCGGAAAGGGGAGTCCTTCTTTGTGGAAAATAAAAAATAAAAAAGTATAAGAAACTCCCCAGAGCTACAACCAACCAACCTTTAATGCCAAAAGATGAAAAAGCAATACTGGCTGTTTAACTATTAAAGCTGGAAAGCATTTGCAGGATATCATTGTGCAGGTCGGGTGAAATATATATGATACCACGACAGAGGAATGTGAATTTGTTCCTCCAGAGTTTTATCGAATGCTTCGTTGCTTTAATGCCTTCTGGATAAAGGGGTGTCCACATGCAGAGGATCTCCTTTGGACTGAATGTATAATGGTGATTTCTCAGTTCTTCTTTATGTACATTTGCTGCTCTGTGTTATCGGAGCTCATCTAAAAGAGTCTGGAACCAATTTGCTGTTTTCAGGCTCAAGAAAATGCACGAGACTACAGCAGCGCACTGAGAATAATTAGTTGTATGAGAGAAATCATAAATATTAAGCCGAACGATTCTGTTCGCTGCCAGAGCCCGTCTTTGATATGTAACATGAGCGGATGCCCAGGGCGACATGAGGAAGGGAGTGCATGATCACAACTTTTTGCATGTGCAGACAGCGAAGAGTTGGTGTCTCCAACACATGAGCAGGGAAATACAACTGGCCCGACTGACAGAGCAAGTTTGTTCAGGGGAATTTCAAAACAGTGGAAATTGTTGCAACAGAAGATAATAATAATAATAAAAGAAAAATAAAAAGCACTCCCTGTAGAACTTGCTACAAAAGTTTTGCTTTGCAACAGAGCAATGCGGTGGATCTTTCATATCTTTATTGATAGAAAAATCTCTACCTCATGGAGATATTCTGAATGAGTCTCCTCTGAGCCCAGCCCTGATTAAGGAAAAAAAAAAAAGGTTTTGCAAAAGTTTGCTCGATCTAGTGCATTAAATAAAACTTGAACTACGAAAGCTATTCTAAATAAATTGATGGATTCTGAGTGAAGCTTGAATCTTCACATGACCTTCCCTGACCCCAGCTCTGACTAGAGCTCAACGTTAAGGGGCTGACGATAGAGGAAAACATAAGACATAAGACTCGAGGTATTTGACGGAAGTTCCCACAGGTGAAAAGCAATAAAGGTTGGACATGTTTGTGCTGCTGCTGGAGGTGAGGTGGGGGTTAGCAGATAAAGAAAATGCCCTGCAAGTCTTTCTCTGAAGTCGTCGGATACCGAAAAGACTAAAGGTTTGGGCGTATCGCATGCTAAACACGAGGAAACTTTAAACGCACATCTCTGCTTTCATCCTATTTTCATTCCGCTTTTAAAGTTCAAAGAGGAGTGATGTAGTGAGTTTGGGCTTTCACAAATCCACCTTCACACAATCGAATAAGTACGGAGTGACGGGGCTGACGACGTGCCTCTTACCTTGTCTTTGAAGTGCAACTGGAACTGAGTTTATATTTTGATATCGGAGGAACAGTTGCGCTGGCTTACCGTGTAACACAAACGGGGTACAAACAGAGGTTTGTGACATACGGAAGCACATACTGAAACCAAATCTTTTCTTTCTGTTGCTCTTCGTCCCTTTACCCTTCCACCACAGAAGCTGATCTGGCGCCCAAACGCGAGGGGCCTCCCGGGGAGGCCACCGCCTTGGAGGCGCTGTTGAGGGGGGACAACGCGTTGGAGAAAAAAAACAACCTCAGTAAGGATGAGGAGACGCTTCTGGAAATACAGGTAACTTTAAACCAACCCGGCGTTGAAAATGAATGACTGTCTTTCTCACCTTTGTAGCATCTGACTGGTTTACGTGCCTGACGAATGACCGTCAGTGGTAAAAGTAACGTTTCTGGCTGTTCCTGCATGACAAAATCTGTAAAACCCATTAAAAATGTGGGGGGAAAAAATAGTGCCTTGCAACCATGGTGTGTTTTAAAGTCTACACAAACCTCTGTGCTGTATTTTTATTTTTAGCTTGTTTTTCCTCATCTTGTTTTATTTGAACCTACTAGGGGTGTGTTTTTTTTTTTTTTTTTTGTAGAGAGTTCTGGAAGCAGAGGAAAACGGGGACAGTTTCCACGAAGATGAAGAGTTTGAAGCAGATACACCAAAGAAAAAGAACAGGAATAGAGGCAAAGTGGGTAACAAAAGCCAAAAATACGTCATTCAGTTACATTGCTTAAACATTCACGTGCTTTTTTTTTCATTACGACTAAAACACTTGGCTTTTTTTATTCTTCTTCCGGGCTGGGCATTTGATCACTCTTCTCATCAGAATTGGTAGAGCTAATTTAAATTGGCTCTATGTCCAAAAAAAACAAAACAAAAACAACCAATTTAAATGAGCTCTGGCATTTCTGTTAAGACGAGTGGTTAGAAAGGCGTCACCCGGTTTGTTCTTTACCATTAGTCTGCAACCTTTACAACCTAAAGAGCCGTTTTGCTCTCAGGACAGCCAAATGAAACTCATTTGGAGCTGCAAATGTCTCATGGGAAAAAAAAAACAAATTGTCATATAAATATCTGCTTCAGGAAATGTCTTATTTTTATATAACCAGCATTTTATTTTCTATTTTTATGATTTAAAATAACGAGAAACATAAAAGAGGATTTACATATTTATACTAAAAAGCACCACATAGATTCCAATTTAATGATTAAAAACATATTACTGGTACTCTTAGTGACATTCGTTGTGAAAATTCAGCACAGATTCAGTGCAGGAACATTTTGAAAAATGGTTGAAAGCCTGTATTTGCTATTATCTTATTTATTGTATTTTAAAAACATTAACATGGTTCCTTTTCATTTTTAACCAAAGCTATTAAGAAAGTTCAACATGCAGCTGCAGAGACACAGGTTGCTGCTATTCTGTACAATTTTGACAATGCGTGGGAGAAAGGTGGAAATAAATGAATAAAAGCCTGAAATAATATAAATGTATTATATTTAGTTCTATGAATGAGAGCAGTAACATGAACTAAACTAATGTAATCTTTGCTTTAACCTGCAAGCGTAACAGGGTCGCACGTGTGATAAATGTTTGTTGTTTCCTTGCAGAGCAGAGGATCGACTCGCAGAAGGACAGAATCCGTTAATGCAGAAGACCTGGATAAACCCTACATCTGTGACAGTAAGGAGACGCAAAGCATGTCTCCTCAGTTTATCATTTGCCCTGTCATCCTGCTGTTATTACACCTCCCAACCCCCTTCCTGCAGAAGTTCCCATGACAAAAAAAAAAAGATCTAAAATGTCTGTTCAAAGAGAAAATACATGTTGATGAAGAGCAGATGTAGCTTCTCAAGTCTCTTAATGTCATCCCTCCTTTTTTCCCCCCTGTTCCTAAAATAAGCATGTAAAGGGACTCTGATGTTTATGCAGAATTGACCAGCATGCCCCCCCCCCCTTTTTTTTTTTTTGTACCTGGACAAAATCCCCCCTCTCCTCCCCCACCATAGGAGTCGGGTTGTTTGTGGACTGAAACTCATGCCAATCGGTTTCATTTCCATTTTTGTTTCATTCTCTTTCCGTCATGGTTTGCTTCTGTGTCTCCTCTGTTCCAGATAGGTACAAACAAAAGCATAACTCAAAAAAGGCTGAAGAAGGTATCTGAATTTGAACTTTTCTCTCTCCCAGCTCCATGCTATATCGCGGTGGTCAGCCTTTTCGCTAACAGCGCAGGAATGTCTGAGAGAAAGCTTCTGATGCTGTATGCTTGGGCTTCTCCTTGTGGATTCGCTGCATGACACTAACGCTTTGCCATGAGCTCCTGTCGCTACCGGTCGCAAGTTCTGGTGTGACTTCACCGGCAGATGCATGTTGCGTCGGTTTCTCTAAAGCCGCCGAGGAAGTGTTTCCACTGGGTGCAAATTATTTACTGCTTTGTGAACTTTGTGAAAGTTGAATTGTGCTTTCAAATCAAGAAATATGTTTTTTTTTTTGTTTGTTTTGTGTTTTTTTTGAGGGGTGGAGGAAAACTGCAGCTTATGCAGAATTGCCTGCTTCACACACACCACATTGCAATTGTTAAGCACGGTGGTGGAGGAGTGATGGTTGGATTTGATGAGATGAAACTCCTTTATGCTTTTCTACGCCACACCAAATACCCGTTTGAAACTTGAAATTAATTCAGGATCATTGTGCTAGTTTAGAAATTCAAGGCAATCCGGCAAGCTTTCAATGTTTTTGGCATGGAAATGATTCCATTATTGTTTGTCTTTTACTTTTGATTAATGGGTTCAGCACAATTGGATGCCAGTAAAAAAAAAGAAAAATCATCATGAGTTCATGCTTTCGTGCTCATATTAACAAAACAATAAACAGAACTAATCTACCAGTACATCCAAAGGTAGTTTTTAACTTTTCGGTGTTTCCTGTTTGCTGTTTGTTTTTTTTTTTTGTTTTTTTTTTGCTGTTGCTTTGTTTATACATCCTCCTTCTCAGCCCTCAGCTGGTGAATTGTGCTAACGGACGCGTCACGTTTCATCCGCAGTCTGTGGGAAGCGCTACAAGAACCGTCCGGGCCTGAGCTACCACTACACCCACACTCACCTGGCCGAGGAGGAAGGCGAAGAGGAGAAGGACGCGGAGACGGCTCCGTCGTCGCCTCACAGTTCGGACAACCACAAACGTGAGACGCAGCTCTCGCAGCTGACCTCGTTACGGCGGTCACTATCAAAATATTCCTTTATGATGGTTTCCTGTTCCTCCGGGCAGCTCAGAAGGGCTCTGATGGAACCATCATTCCCAACGACTACTGTGACTTCTGCTTGGGAGACCAGGACGCCAACAGGAAGACGGGGCAGGCGGAGGAGCTGGTGTCCTGCTCCGACTGCGGTCGCTCTGGTGAGTTTGTCGCAAAGACAACAAAAAACAAGCGAACCCCAGACGGTGAGATGAGTTTATGAGCACAACCGACTTTAGAGTATTTGCCTCCTCACAGATATTGTGAAAATTGTGAATGTTTCAGTGTCAAATACATTTTAAAACTAGAAAAACATCACCAGAGTAAACGCAAAATGCGATCTTCTAGTGATGTTTCTTTTTATATGCGGATTTACGCCGGTTCAGAGGAATTTTGGCTCGAAACAAGTCATTGTGCTGTAGCTTCCTGCTATAGCACAATGCTGCTCTTTTTGCCTACTTACTGTTGTCAGACAGCTTCTATTTAAGTAATATTTCGACTCTACAGATCTGGCAATAATTAGGTCTGGATGTGGCAAATAAAAAAATGTGGTAAATCGCATTTTAACAATGAGGGCAATTATTTTCTGCATCTTGAGCCAGGTTGGTTTGGATCCAGCTTTTGGAATAATTGTGACAGTAAAAGGAAAACAGGAGAAAACAGGAGAACTATGTAAGAGAACCAAACAGTTTTACACAGAAGTTAACAACATTAACAATGAATTATCTTAATACACAGCAAAAGACCTGGATTAATGTCTCCACCATGCATGTGTGGACTGTCTCCTCCCACTGTCCAGAGAAAGTTAGGTTAATTGATTGCTCTAAATTGCCTTTAGGTATGAGTGTGTGTGTGTGCATGGTTGCTTGTCCTTTGTGTCTCTGTGTTGCCCTGTGACAGAATGGAAACCTGTCTAGAGTGCACCCCGCCTCTTGACCCAATGGCTGCTGGAAATGAGTACCAGCCCCCTGGGACCATGCAAGGACAAATGGGTGTAGACGACGGATTGGATTAATTATTTTTGCTACTAAAATAGCAAACCCAAATTTGTGCGTGCGTGCGTGCGTGAAACAATTTAAAGTTACACTACAAAAGATTCAAAAGATTTATGAAAAATGTAAAGATTTATCAGAGATTTTTTACAAAGTCTGAACTTTAAAGAGGTTTCAGTCCTTTAGAAAAGCCCAGACTGTTTACCCACCTTAAATGTTTTAGCGCTCATTAAGCTCAGCTTGGATGTCAGCGTACATTGTGGAGGTTTTGTGTTATAGACAAATACAAGTAGAGGAAGTGATGTAATGTATTATTAGTTGTTTGTGCATTTGTATTTAGCCACATTGAGTCAACAACCTGTAGAATAATCTTTAGCCGTAGCTGTAGCTGCAGCTGCAAGTCTTTTGGGAATATGACAGATTGAATATGAAGACGTTTAAAATAAATGAATACATGAAGCTCAGTCAGGTTAGAAGAAAAGTGCCGATCAAGGTCAATTTCAAAGTTGCCACAAAACAAGCGTTTCTCTTTTTGTGGGTTATCAATGACCTCAATGAGTGAGACTGAACAGCTGAAAAACCGATATTCCCCATTTTTAATATCTGCTGCTTGGTTCAGTTCTGCTTGCCTCGTCTGCCTCCGTCCCTCCGTGAGGATTTCTGCTTTTAGATGACATGCCGTCACTGCTTGTTTTCTTCAGCTCTGTGCATCATGATGCCGCAGTTGTCTGCATCTCTTCCTTCCACATCACATCCCCCCCCCCCCCCCCCTGCTTTGTTTATCCCTGCGAATCATATCTCAGATCACCTGCAGGGAGAAGGCGGAAAAATGCATTTGAGCGAACGAGCGTTGTCAGGACAGGAGAAGAGCGAGCCAAGCGTGACGTTGCCTGTGTTCCTCTGACGTGGATGTTTTCATTTTGGCTGGAAGACCACAATTATATCTTTGTGTTTAGTCAAGTTAGAAGCACAAACATAATTTTTTTTGTTAAGAGTTTATGTGATAAACCAATAAAATCAGTTAAATAATCGCACAGTAGATGGACGGAGATACGTTATTGTAAAATAATGGGAAAGGTTTTATTTTTTTATATAAAAAATTATTTGTATTAAGCCTTCTTAAGCCTGCAGAAAGAGATGTGGTCAGATAAAAAAAAAATAAGCCTTTCTGACCATGCAACACACTAAATTTGATGATTACCTGAATACAATACCGATACAGTGGATTGTGATTGTTGGGATGCTTTACACAAATTACTTACACAAGGGTGCATAGACATGTTCGCACAGGTGAAATGAGAGTTGTATCAATTTGTAAATGACTTCAAACACCCAAACAACAGAAAGTATTTTTATAATCTGGAGGATGAACATCACTTAAGGTGGAAACTTCTCGTAAAATATGTCCAGTAATGTCTCTCCTTGTGTTTTTTACCTTGATGCCCCTCCAAAGGTCACCCCACATGCCTGCAGTTCACAGAGAACATGATGCAGGCGGTCAGGACGTATCAGTGGCAGTGCATCGAGTGCAAGTCCTGCAGTCTGTGCGGAACCTCCGAGAACGACGTGAGCATCGTCACGCTAAGCCTCGTCGTGTCGGGAACCGTCGCCGAAAATCTCTTTCTTCTCACAATGTCGAGTGTGTGTGTGTGTGCTTGTTTCCATTCAGGACCAGTTGCTGTTTTGCGATGACTGCGATCGGGGATATCACATGTACTGCCTGAAGCCTCCGATGACCCAGCCTCCTGAAGGTGAGAGCCGGTTTTTGAAGATTTTTTTTTTTTTTTTTGCACCAAAGACATCAGTGGACTCAAAACTTTTTAGGTTATGTGCTTTATGTTTGAGAGAGGCTTCAGGATAAGGCTATATATGGAAAGAGAGAGGAGAGGTGATTTCTCACTGTGTCTTTCCAGGGAGCTGGAGCTGTCACCTGTGTCTGGACCTGTTAAAAGACAAGGCCTCGGCTCACATAGAAGCATAATAGGAACCATGGGATTATCCACATACACACAGCATCATGGAGAAGCATTGCTAACCCTTCAGAAAACCTTGAAAAGTGAGGCATGCCCCAAATCCAAATTTTAGTTTGACTCTTTTCACTCTTTGGTTAGCACAAAGTCCACACTCAAGTCTTTAGATGACAACAGTCATCTGTGGCATCTTCTGGTGGCTTTTCTATCAACATATTTAACATTCTCGCCCTCAGCACCGCCGTTGCCGACTGATTATGTTTTTGAGATCATTTTTTCTATCTTAACCTTATTGATATTTAAAAGGTAGCTGACTTTTGAAGGAGAATCTGCTGCACTGGATTTTATTTAGTCATGTCAAAGTAAAAGGGTTCGCTAATACAAATGCATCTCACGCACAATACAAACTTTTATTTGGAAAAAACAAAAAACAGACATTCGCTTTTCCTCCCACTGCAATTATGCACTACTTTGTGTCGGCCAAATCAAAAAAAAAAAAAAAAAAAAAAAAAAGCTTTTAAAGGGGGCCATTATTTTGGCCTGAGGGGGAAATTTTTTTC